GATCAGTAGCACGTCGAGTGGGTAATTGCTTGGGAAGTTCTGGTGGAATCACTTTTACATATTCCTCTAGAATCTCAACAACAGAATATGGAACTTTAACAAACTGGTCCAGTTTAATCTCTATCATGGCTGCAAGAAAGGTAAAGTCTCCTCTCTTCAAACCTATTTTCACTTGTAATGCAGAGATTATCTCGATGCCATACTTACGCTTTCCTTTCTTCTTATCCCCATAAGAAGCCATTGATGGAATGAAGCACGAATAACCCTGTTCTGCAATAAAAATTCCTCCCAAATATGGCACAACAACCACTTTGCCTTTCACAAAGAAATCATTCCCAAGGATTATATCAAAATCATCTAAGAGTACAGCCATAAGACTGATTTTGCCCTCCCAACAACCAATTTTCAAAGAAGTTGCAACAATGCCTAAGATAGGCTTGGCCTCTGAATTCACAGCCTTTATCTTATTGGAATTCCCAATTAACTTTAAATTAAAGTTACTTCTCTATGCGCAATGAAGTTATGAGTGGCCCCCATGTCCACCATAGCCAACACTTCTTGCCATTCACATGAGCCCTTTCTGGAACAACGACTGCTCTTCAGCAAGAACATTCAGTAATTGCAGATGATTGACTTAACTTAGACTATCCAAGTCTGAATCTTCTTTCAAAGTCTCAACGACAATAACACTAAGCTTTTCCCTTTTGGAGCAATCTCTAACACGATGGGGACCATTACAGATAAAACAACCAGAGTTGGGCTTTGTCCCACTGCTACTACTTCCTTTGTTGTAATCTTCCTTTGACTTGCCAAAACCTATGTCTTTATCCTTCTTCTTGTTCTTGTCCTTGAACTTGAAAGATTAGTCTTTGTCTTTCTTCCCCTCCTTAAACTTCTTCTTATAGGTAGTTGTAGATCCTGTTATGTTGAAATCTACCAGAAAATCTGCCGCTGTCATCGCAGTAGGAAGAGCCCTAACACCTTGCCTACGAAGTTCTGCCTGAGCCCATGGTTGTAATCCAGACATGAAATTGAACAGTTTATCTTCCTCTGACATATTTCGAATGCCCAGCATCAAGGAACTAAATTCTTCACACAGTCATGAACTGTGCCTATGTGCTTCAATTTCTTCAGAGATTCCCTTACGATCTATACAATGTTCTAAGGTAAGAAATGATCCTTCAATTCCTTTTTCAGGGTCTCCCAGACTTCAATCCGAGGCCTACCCACAGAAGCATCATCCTCTGTCCGTGTTCGCCAGCACAGTTTTACATCACCGGACAAATACATACTTGTAATGGTTACCTTCTCGCCATCAGGGATCCGAGCAGCCTTAAAGTACTGCTTCATGTCCCAAAGGAAGTTTTTTAACTCTTTGGCATTTAGGGTACCACTGAAAGACTTAGGATCCGGCACCTTGATCTTCCGTGAAAGAGGATCACCAGCACCTCTGGAACTACCATGAATGGCCCTCTTCACCAGGGACACTTCATCTTCTATGTCCTTCAGATTCTTCTTGAAGGCATCTATCAAAGACTCCACATCTTCAATAATACAGGTCAATTGCTCTTTAGTGGCCTGCATGAAATTACCCATACCTTCATAAATCGTTCTTCATGATCTGGACTTCAGAAGACAAGTTTTCGATCTGAACAACAAGGCTCTCTGCATCATCTGCCTCTGTTTTTGTAGGAAAACCAACAAGGTTCTCCAACCAAAAACTCTTTCTCTAATATTGCTTCCAGTCATTGTAGAACGGGGATCTGATACCAATTGTTACAGGGACAAATCACACTATGAATTTTTTTTTCTTCTGTGAAATAGCACTTGGGGCCACCAAATCTCAGCCAACACAACACACACAATACAGAAATACAAATATAGGCACACACAGTTTACAAGACCAAGTCCCAACCTTTGATCTTATTAAACAAAATACACAGGACACAATTTCGTACAAGAGATACAGGCTCTCATTACATACACAGCAATGTACACTCTGCCTAATCCAAGCCCCCAGTATTCCAATAAATAGGCACTCAGAGAAAACTGCCTACAACTAGTATGTATATGTCTGTATCGACACAACAGGATAGGTTGACAAGCCCAACCTTCTAGCCAAATAACACAATCAAACTCGTCCAGCACACCATAGAGGTTTCTCCCTCAACAACCTATCTGTGTCAGACATATAGATACGTATATTCAGTTGAACATCCCCCAACTTATAGGAAACTGGCCAATGACAACATGCCACAGTAATAACTGATCATAAGCCATATAACATATTTGTATATGCTATCACAACCGAATATAAGTCACAAGGCTTGTCTGGAACATCTGATCATAAGTCACTGATCATATCTCAACTACTCCCACATGCCTCCTTCTAATTGGATGCTTGCTTGATAGGCACACCTGCTGCCCACCAAGTGATATGTAGGTGTCATAGCCTTAGCCATGGTCCATGAGCCACACTGAGTCAAGCCCACAAGTCTGAACCCATACATAAGTGCCCCTTGGTGCACAGCGTGCCAAGCCATGGGCAACGCTGGTGTACGCTTGTGTGCATGCACGTGCGCACGCGCTGGTGCACGCTTTGGCGCGCGTGAGCTGGTGCACACTGGTCCGACCTTAAATATTTGGATGCCCCCATCTCGTGCCACCACCTTGGGTTAGTGTAACTCGTGCCCATATACGTTGGCCAAGCCCTCTAAGCAAGGCATGCCATAGCCTAGCTGATGAGCATAGTTGTTGAGCTCCAACTCCCACACTCCATAGTATAGGTGAAGTAGATATTAAAACTCTGGCAGGAACATATATCACCTATAGCTGAGGAGTCATAATGGCCCATATTGGACCCTCTGGACCTCCAAACTGAATTCCGTTTTCACCAACAATCTTCTAAGGTCTCAAAGCACGTCCCATTAAATTCTCGAGTCCAAACTCTAAACTTCATTTTTATCATAATTACGAAAATGCCATTAAGCATCCTCTGTGCACGCTGAGCATCCTCATGGCTGTCAAGGGTGTCACTAACCTCTCTTTGATAAACCCCCATGTTTCAAACAAAAGCCAAAGTGATCCCAAGATGCCTATGTCTTCCCTTGGACAAATGTCAAGGGCTAACAGCAAGCTATAAAAGAAATCCATGCCTTGGGATCACCAAGGGGTTCCATGGGATATGAAGCCAAAGTTTCCGAATGCCTCTGCTTCACAAATTATCCAAGGCTAATTTAGAAGAATACAACCCATTAGCACTAAGAACTTATTGAACTTGGTCTCTACATCTAGGGCTGCAAATGAATTGAGCCAAGCCAAGCTTTAGGTTGTTCGGGCTCGGCTCGTCATATCCAGGGAAGTGTTTGGGCTCAGCTCGGTTGCATACTCTATAATCCCAATACAAGAAACAACACATTTCTTTCATGAAATTTGATCGGAGATGGTCTCTTCCATGAAATCCGATCTCCACCTCCAATAGAAACAAAGAAGAAGAAGAAGTTTCCACATCCAACGGAAAAGAAGAAGAAGAAGAAGAAATACAAACAAATTTTCAAGATCGAAATCAAACCTTACAAGAGTTTAGGGACTCGATCTAAAGATATATTCCACTGCCTGAACTTAAGGGTGCATTTGAGAGGTACATTAAAATCCGTTTGAAGGAGAGAGAATGGTGATGCCGTTGTTTATGGGATTATCTGAAGATCCCTTGCCATTGCCACTAGAGACTTCATATTTTTAGGGTTATACTTATCTTTTAACTTAAAGCAAATCAATAACTGAGAAGATGAACCAATATTTAATAGCTGAGATGTAATTTTATTTGAATGTTGGCTAAAGTCTTATAATTCTTTGGGCATTATGTGAATTGGGCCAAACTTATATTCATATAAACCAAACCTTTTAAATGTAAAATTGTATTACAAATGAGCTTTGTTAATGAGCTTGTTCACAAGCCTAACGAGCCAAGCTCAAGATTGCTCAAGCTCGGCTCGTTTACTAAACGAGCTTGAAAATCAGGCTCGAGCTTGGATCGTTTACTAAATGAACGAGCCCGAACCGAACTTTTAACGAGTTAAGCCCATCGGTTCATTTGCAACCCTATCTACATAACAGTAAAGTTTTGGGATGAAGGAAGATATCTTTGCCATTGCCCAGAAGCCAAGAAATCTAAGAGTTTGACTTTCCTGGTGTGTCTGAGCAGCTTTCCTATATATGTGCGTGTGTGTGCACGCGCGCGCGCGTCTTATATATATATGTAGATAAAGAGAAAGGGTAATTTGGCCATCTAATTGTTTTGATATCTTACAATTAAAATTAATCAAATAATGAAGACGATGTTATTGTCTAAAAATAAGTAAACTTATGTATGAATGTTCTTGTACCAAACCTCATGGGATGTCATTGTACTTTACCCAAAAAAATTTAATAGGACATGCAATAAAAACACAAGGATGACATGTAAGGAAATGAATATTAATTTATATGGAAAAAATATATATATTTACCATCGTCATCCTTGAGTCGATCACATAAATTCTCTTTTTTTAATTTTTTTATTATATATTATGTCTTCTCTTAAATTTAATTTTTTTAGATCATTTTTATTACTTCAAGGAAATCATGAAATAAAGTAATAAAAAATAACTTTAAAAAAATCATATAAAATGAAGAACTAATTTGCCAAATTAGAGAAGGAAAATAATAATAAAAAAAAAAAAAAAAATCATGTAGCCAACCACATTCAATTGAGATAAAGAGAGATGATAATGATGACAACATATAAAATATATTCCATCGTATCTGAACAATTCTAATATAATAACCATTTCAGTCCTGCTTTATTTATTTGATTCTTGCTTCATTTCAATCCTGTATGCAAAACGTGGAATTATACATACATGCATGTATACATATAAGGACAATATACACACTCACATACAAAAAGAGGGAAAGAGGAAAGGAGACGTTAGTCTTTTCCTCCAAGATAAGGAATAGCCTTCATGACAAATTTGAACTCTATATATTTGTATGGAAATAACTTACAAAAATTTACACTTAATACATTAGCATTACACAATCCACTGCAACAAGTCCTTGCAGATCAATGAAGTCCAATAGACATTCCTTAAAGCAGTAGCCACAAGAAAGCAAGAGAAAATGAAGACTTTTTTCCATCATTAAATTAAACACTCACCAGAGACTCAAGACATAACAGCAATGTCCACACTTCCCTCTCCATTTAACTTAGGCAGAATCAATTCATTTGTCTCTCTCACTTGTTTGAGCTCATCTTTGGACTTGCAAGCAGCATTACCATTCTGGACAGCGACCCGGTCCTTCATGTTGTTCGGGGAAGTGGTGGTAGTATCTTTGTAACTTCCTAGACTGTTACGTGTCCCTCGACCACAAGCTCCCATCACCTTGTCTCCCCGAGAAAAACCAACTGCATCACTGCAGCTCTTCCTTCTGCCCAACTTCGGTGATTTTGCACGAGTGGGTGGTGGCTAGCATCCAGATAAAGCAGTGTGCAAAATTTTAAGCTTTTAATAGTAACTGACAAGAACGTTAATCATAGTATAAAATAAAAATTTACTGTAATTGGATCTTTTCCTCTTTTTTCGTTTTGCTAGCTCATTAGTAACAATGTTACTTGACACTTCAATTAACATCTTAAAAAGTTATACACTTCCTGTGCATTTGCATGAGAAACAAGAAAAAGTGTGGGGTACCTTTTTCAGTTCAACCTTGGGTGGTGGTCCCTCGTGGTAGAAACTCGGCATGGGGCTCGCCTTAAACATTAAACTTTTTCTCAGTTGCTTGATAGCTACTGCTTTCTCTTCCTAAAAATTTGAAGATCAACAAAGGGATAAATGCAGAGAGGAAATATTTATATTATCTACCTTATATAACTAACATGAAGAGACACTAAGGTGAGGAAGAGTAACACAGAAGAAAAGTCGAATCTCGGGTATGCATATTAGGGAGAAGGGGAATTGTAATTACCACTGAAATAGAATGATAATCGAGAAAGAAATGTAACAATATACCTTTGTCCTTGATTCCAACTGGGTTTTCTCAGCCTCCAGAGCTTGGTGTTTCTCCTCTAATTTTGAATAAAACTAAAAAGATGGCAGAAAATGAAGAGAACAGTGAGGCACAATTTCTGCATACTGAGTTTTTTAAGCATATTGCACGTTACAGAAGGTTATAAAACAAATTTCATATGCAAAAGATCAATGAAGCACTACCTCCCTCCGTTTCTCTGCACGTTCAGAGCATCTAAACACTGGAGCTAAAGCAACAGATGTCCTGAGCTTATTGAGCTGGGCTGATGCTGCAACACTTTGCAAAGATAAGGATTTTCCAAAACAGAGTCAGAGAGAGAAATAGAACATAAAAGTGAAGAAAAGGACAGTATAAGAAAATGAGATCAAGCTTGGACTGCATACGAGGAAGCAACAGAACAAGAATCTTCTTCATCAGGATGCTTCTTATTATCAGGTTGCAATGGCTTCCTAGATACCAAAGGTGAGACTACCTGCACGAAAATAGAAAACTTTCATTATCATCAATAAACAATCACCTGATCCCAGATTTTGTCAATATAATGCTTGGGAAATAATTTCCATGACACGATAACAATTTTGGAAAGATGTATATGTATACGCTATGTTACGTGGACTCTTTCAAAAGTAGTGAAGTACCCAGATCGGACACACATTGCTTGGACATGGGTATGAGATATGGGTCCATCCGACACTTTTGGTTGGACATGTACTTAAAAGGCATACCCAATCCTTCAATTATATTGTATTAGTACTTAAAATGAGTTAATAGCCTAAATTGAACACTATGTTAAATAAAAACATTACTTTACTCTAGAAACAAAAATAAACTAATTAAATAAAATGAATATCTAGTACTGTCCATGTGTCCCTATGCTTAGAGATTTGGCATACCTGTACTCGAGTCCATGTAACATAGTGTATGCATATATGTAAGTATATTTATATGTATATGTATATGTAGGGGGAGGGAGGAAAGGAGGGAGGGAGGGAGAGAGAGATTACTATAGAAGGCAAAAATTGAGAAGTACCAAAGCAGATTAAGAGAAAAACTAAGAAACCTGGACTTTATTGCAGTTACCTGATTCTGTTTTGTAGTTATTGGGTGTTTCAAACTGTTTGCCTGAGATGATTTAGTCACAGCAGCACAAACATCAGGTTCAGTCCCAACAGGACGAATTCCACATGACGCACGTCTTTCAGTTGCCAGAGCAAATGGCTGTGGAACAGTGTAATTCATTCTAGTGTTCCCGGTACCAGGTTTCGATGCAGGTTTCACAGCAGATTCTGACTTTTTATTATCATTCTTAGTTTTTTGTGGTTCAGATTTGATCTTCCCCTCTGACAAGACAGCGTCAGAATTTGAGCTCAATATGTTTTCCTCGAACTTTTCAACTTGACATAGTTCAGAAACCTCAACCGAGTTTTCTGTAGTGCATTCCTTCACATCATATTCCTTTACTTCAGCATTCTCTTCCAATATTTGGGGTTCCGGATCCCCATTAATGTGCTCATACAACTCTGCAACATCGTGATGAATGGGAGTGATTTCCTGACTTGAATCATGTGAATCACCATTTGAATAAATTAGGATACAATCTGGCTCCTTGTCCATACAATTATCAGTGACTTCCATACCCATTTCACTGCAGGGAAGAAACACACAAGTATCAAAACAAAATCATTTACTATAATTAAGGTTCTTCATCGGAGATCATTTTTATATCAAACATCTGACCATTCAATTCTACTGAATCTATCAATGTAATTTCTAGAAAACTCGTCTCTCTATAATGCTAAATAGTGAAAACTCACGAATCCTCTAGATAACTTTAGGCCTCAACTCTCGAGTATACAACATAACCCAATATTATGAAATGCAGTTCCTATGGGTCAGGTGCACAACTGAGGAAATAAAATAGCGCAGAAGTTCCTTTATACAAATACATAAGAAGGAAGATACAAAATTACATTACAATTATAATAATAATAAAAATAAATAAATTGTTGTACAGTCATTATAGTTATAGTTGATGTATGGTCAAGCAAGTTCAAATCTCCATGATAAGATCTCCCTCAGTTTTCAAATCTTTAACCCAGTCCTCTTTTTTTTTTTTTTTTTAAAGGAGCTATCAGCCAAACATCTTTTCTTAAGAAAGAAGACTTGCATTTCAAACAAATATTTTTCACGGAAAATGCTCAATTACTACTTTACTATAAAAAGGATAGTGAAAAAATTGGAAATTTAAAACTATTACACAACAATGACTCACTGGAATAGCAAAAGATGAATGCGCTCAAAGAGGGAAAGAAATGCCAAAAATCAGTTAAAGTACAGATCATCTAAGAAAATGGAAGCATAAAATAGTTGTTCCCAGCAAGGCTTGTTTTGTGCATGTATACTGAGAGAGATCAACACACAGACTCACTGGAATAGCAAAAGATGAATGCACTCAAAGAGGGAAAGAAATGCCAAAAATCAGTTAGAGTACAGATCATCTAAGAAAATGGAAGCATAAAATAGTCGTTCCCAGCAAGGCTTGTTTTGTGCATGTATACTGAGAGAGATCAACACACATGACCAACTCATTATTCAATTACTGAATTGGTATTGGGCAATAAGTGGTACACAAACTAAATGTAGAATGCTTGAGGTTAGCTTATGATATCGAATTTAGGCCATGACTTCCACTATGCGATCACCCAAACACAGTTTTTTTCTTTTACTCGTGTGGATTCATTAGAATAAGCACCAAAGTACTGGGATCAAGAAGTAGACAGATTCACCAAGCTGCTCTAAAAAGTTGAGGCAGGCACATGCATTTCAACTAGGTAGATGGAAGTCTTGGCCCTTTTGGGGCCTAAAACAAACTCAAAATTGCAATGAGAGAGGCAGTGCAATGTTATGTAAATTCTTTGATGTTAACAAAAATCAAATTCATCGAAACAATATGCAGATTAAGAAGCCACATGTTAAACTAACATAAGTCATGTATGTACTTATGCATTTTAGGCAAACTGTCTCATTTGATTATCAGGGATGATACAACTATTTATCCAACAGGTCTTTTTCTAACAACCAGACTAGTTATGATATTCTTAATGTTTTTTTGAGAATGTTTAAAAAACATATTCACTATGTAAAAGGAGAATGCACAAACAATTAAGAGATAATGGTCTTGGAGAACACGAAGAGACAACTTGATAATGAACAAAAAGTAGCAGCGCAGAATCATTTGGTTCGCACCAACTGGGGAATCCATGGAGCATAAAGAAAAACCAATAATTATAGAACTGAAGAGGTAGGTATATGTCCCATAAAATAAGTGTATGTTCCACCTAAGTGGGCTGTTGGGAGGAGACAATTAAAAACAGACCCAAGTCCTAACCTTTGCCACTATAATTCCCATATACTTCATAAAGTTCTATGCTCTCTTCGAAGTTCACTGATATTCAAAAGGAAGGAAGGAACATGCATACATGTGGATGGCTACATCTAAGCATGTGTACAAAGTTGTTGATAAAGCAAAAGGGGTTCATTAGAATGTATAAGGTCGAATGAAAACAGATTTCAAGTCTTTGTGGGAAACATAAAATGGATAAAAAGGCAAAAATAGTACCAAATTCTCTGTTTTTAAAAGTTGAATTACATTCATTAATTCTTTTCGGTGTATGTTCATGTGCATGTATCATACAACGACACAAAAATGTATAATTCCAACAGATCTATATTTAAAGCTTCAATTCATACCTCACTGCAAAATGAGAAAAACATACATCAAATGCAAGGGAAAATCCACTGGCTTAGAAATCAAACCATTTGCAGAAAATTCAACACCTCAGCGCCTTATCCTCCAAACAAACACTATATAAGATAGATAACAGTAAAACAACAGAACACCCCTTTTTGTTACTCAAAAACCGAGAAATAGAAAGGCAAACAAAATTCGATTTGACCTCCTATACTCCTTGATTGTTAACACATGAAAGCCCACTCTCAACCCAAACCAACTAGCAGTATAAGCCAAATTTTCATTCAAATAATCAAATTTCCAGCATTTTCTCACTAACCAAACAAAAATCTTCTGTTCCCCAGCTAAAATTCTAGACATCATTTTCATTTCTTTCCCGCATTTCCAAATCAAACAAACACAGTCTAAAATATAATATTAAAATTTCAAAAAAAATGGAAGAAATTCAAAAAATTTGAAAAAAAAAAAAAAATTCTGACATATCCAATCAAATTCTTCAATTTAAAATTCAAATTATCAAAATTCCTGCATTTTCTCACTAACCAAACAAAAACCCTCGGTTCCCCAGCTAAAATTCGAAACATCATTTTCATTTCTTTTCCCACATTTCCAAATCAACCAAACACCGTCTAAAATGTAATTATAAAATAAATAAATAAAAAATGGAAGAATTTCAAATTTAAAAAAAAAAAAAAAAAAAAAAAAAACCTTCTGACTTTCAAATGAAATTCTTCACAAAATCCAACAAAATTCAAGAAGATAAATCAAACCCATATCGAGAAACAGATCAATCAAGAAAAAGAGGGACTGAAACGAAGATGTGTGTACAGATCTGTTGATGAATAGAGCAGTAAGCGAAGTACATTACAGCAAATGCACAAAGAGAACAGATCGAGAGGTAAAGAGAGATTCGAAATGACGAAGAGGTGAGAGATTTCTTACAGATTTTTAGTCTGATCTGAGAGAAGAAGAAGAAGAAGAAGAAGAAGGTCTTCTTGTTTTGCCTTATCGAGCGGTTCTAAAGCTATGTGCGTGCGAGTTTGTGTCTGTTACTGGATTTATATATACAAAGTTACAACACTACGAAGTACAAACATACAACGCCGTCTGTCTATCTACTAAACGGCATCACTTCACTCCGTTTATATATTCTCTTTTGAAATTTGACATGAAAACAGTCGTCGTTCGAATTTTTTTAGCGCCTCAATGAATTTCTTCTGGTCCGTGTAGGTGGTGGAATTAATTCCAACTGTGGACTACCTGGTACTTTCTCACTGGCTGTGTTTTGTTAGATAAAAAATACTAGTCAAAAAAATAAATAAATAAACGAAAGTAAGTGAAGTGAAAGAGAGAAAAATAAGTTTTTCAACGTGTATTTGGTTACCATTAAATTTTTGAAATTTTGAAAGAAGAATATTAAAAAAGTTATCATTTTGTGATTTGAATAGCAACAAACTTACCATATAAGAAAGGGCATTACTGTAACTTCATAAAACTTTCTCAGTAAATTAAAATTTTCTTGGGTTGTTTTTGGAGAAAAAAATTTATGAAAAAATTAGGTGGTAATTTTTCAAATACACGTTGAAAAATAAGTTTTTCAATGTGTATTTGGTTAGCATTAGAATTTTGTAATAAAATTATAAAAATTTATCATTTGTGGTTTAAATAGTATGAAGCTTACCATATAAGAGGCATTACATTAAAACTTCATTAATTTTTCTCAATAAATCAAAATTTTCTTATGTTTTTCGGAAGAAAATTTCATGCAAAAATCAGGTGGTTATGAAAAGTAATTTTCTCTTAAAATATTTCTTTTCCTACTAATTAAACTTCTAAATATTAAAAAAAAAAAAAAAATCAGTTTCCTTTCTTTTTTGTTATTTCCATTTAGTCAAAAGGAGCCTAAGCATTTTCAATTCTCTTTTAAAAATAAAAAATAATAATATATTCCGCGAATTCAAAAGATGTCAACTAAGTATTATGCAGATGTGGACCTGATATTGCAATGTCATTATGAAATGAGGTCCATATCTGACTCACATATTCTTTGTTTCGTATCTTTTGAATTCGAATTATGCATAGTGTATACTTTAAAAATATTTACTATGTCATCATTTGTAAAATTTCTTCTTTTATATACAACTTAATCCAAAAAAAATAAAAGAATGATATAGTGTTTTCAAAATAGTTAAATTTAGAGTTTGAAAAATATATCTATTGAAGAATATCCATGTCGAAAAGCGTGATACCATGATTTCACATGTCAATTTTTATAAATAGAAAAAATGTTTTGACAGTTGGATTGGGTAGGGGTCTTTGGCTAGACCCCTAGGCCCCCAACAACACTAATCTTAATAAAATAATAATACGAATATTACTGACTAATTAAATGTTTAAACTTAATGACTAAACACATGTATAGATATATTTTTATTTATATGATAAAATATAATTAATTGGTAATATGCCGTGACATATGAGACTTTTTACCATTGTAGTGTAGATTTTTTACCTAAAATGGTCACTTCTCAAATTTGATCATTGGTTAAGAGGTTTGTTATCTATGGTTGTTTGGATAATTGTGGATAGACATCATTTTGTGTGATTTTTATAAAAGAGATAAAAATTGAAAACATAACAAGTGATGTATATAGGAGGAGCAGGTATTTGGTACGTCCAGTGCACTGTGTACCGAATTCAGTGTTATCCATTTTCAAGCACAAGCAAGCACTGCTATGTGCACCAGGTATATAGTATGTTTTCTCCTATCGAAAAGAGTATACAAATGACTATGAATAGCAAATCTTGATAATTGCACGAACTGTTATGATGTGCCCATATATTTTCTGTATAAACCACTGTGAGTAGCAAATCTTGACAATTCATTCATCTTTTACAATGTATTTTTTCCCTTGTATTATTATTATTCATTCTATTATGCATAGGTATTGTCTATTAGATGTTGACGATTATACCCTGTATCAAGTACTACTTCAATATTACAACTTTGTCTAACAAAGTACTAGTTTAATGAGATGAAAATAATGCCCTTGTAATTGAGAAATTGGAATATGAATGTTTTATAAATGCCAATCTGTCATGTCTTTTGTATTGATTCTTCATTTTCTATTGTGTGTGTGTGTATATATATATATTCCTTAAAATAAGTTTGGCCTAAAAAATTTAGTAGCACAACGGTAGCAACCATTGCTTACCTACAAAGTCCTTCATTATAGATACTAAAAAAAACTATCCAAATGACTTGTCATCAGATTAGTTACACCTTCTTTGATAGTTTCATCGTTATCATCTTTATTTTATATGATAAAAAATATATATATAATTTTGGCAAGAAATATACTAAGAAACATCCACTTATCTTTACGATGATTTGAACGACCTTTTATTATTTTGAAAAGCAAGAAAGTACCACCGAACTATACCGTCGAAGAAAAATATCATGTTTCAATGAGGATAGTTTTGTTATTCTAAGTCATAAAAGTGTGTGTATAATTTACCAAGAAAAAAAAATTAAAAAAAATGTGTGTGTGTATATATAATTTGTTTTGGTTAATTTGACAAAAAAATGTGTCCATTAAAGTATTTAACAGCTATAGTTTTCCTATTTGGATAAAAAAAAAAAAGGGGGTAATATTGAAAATTGGTGATTTGTTTTTGATATTTGCAAAATATTATATTCGTGTGTGGAAGTAATATTTGTGTGACAGTACAATATGAATCCAACTAAACCTGTTGAAGAAGAATAATTGTCAAATGTGTAATTAATTCAACAGCTCAAAACCAAGGGGGTTGATTCAAAAACATTAACATCTTATAGAATCTGAAATTAATGTGTGGTCATATGTGCACTGCAGGTTGAAATGTTCGTGGCATATGAATAAAGCCCAATTTTTTTAACAAATAATGGCTCTATTTATACCAAACTAACTCAATGCATAAATTCTTTTAAATCTACAGAATGAAAACCACTGTCATTTGTTACGATACGCTACTGTTGCACCAATTATAAATGTATTGTGACACATTATCACTCATGATAGGCTCTACAATCCGCTTGTGAGTGTTACAACAGTTGTTTGTCGTAACAAATATAATATTTCTAGAATGACTCATTGAACTTTTTATTTTCTCCCTAAAATATATAATTAAAAGTTTTGATTGAATTAAACCGCATAATACGATATAAACCATCTAATAATTTTTTGTGATTGCACATATATCAACGATCGGATAAAAAAAAAATTATGCGAAAGAGCAATTATGTCCCCTCCAGTTAGTAATATACGTTGCAAAATTTATCATGTTATAATTCTGTCCCCTCCAGTGGTTCGCTATATTGACCAGTTCGTAACCCTTTTTTAAAGGTCCGATATTGTCACAAGTCTCTATGAATCGATCAGTTTGGCTGTTGTATGTCAATATTCGTTCGAATCAATTACACCGTGACCGTAACTGTTATCATGATCATGAATTGAACATCACAATATTTTTATAAAGTATGTCACTAATGGGACCGGACTGAACATTAATTCTTAGAAGAGGATTTTTAGCCCCTCAACAATCACCCTTCAAAAAGAGAGACTCTCGCACCATATAACATATTTTATTTTGTTGTTTAGTTTTGTACACACATTGTTGTATGGGTAATTTAGGTAAGATAGATTTACAGAAGGGTTTTATATTGTGTCAATGAGACGTTCACGTCTCAACCAAAAATTGATTAAAGCCAGAGAAGGGGTTCGGTCCCAATTATTGCTTGGGCTCCATCTTTGATTATTCCTTCTAACCCTTTTGATAAAGCCATAACACCCTCTAATTTATATAATATTACACCCCACTTTTCCCTCTACCCAATTTGTCCCTGTCAATCCTCTATAATCACATAATTTGTCCTCACTAAAACAGGTTAAGACAGTGTTTGGACTATCAATTTTGGTTATCTTTTAACTATTTCTAAACATATATAACCTAACTCACATAAAACGGGAGGAGAAGGAGTCAGAGCATGAAAGTATAAAAGCGGTAAAATTAAGTCGCGGTGAGAATAAAAATAAAAACGTGCAATAAATTTAAGAGCAAGAGCACTCCCGGAAGGAGGACACCTATTAAAAATGATTATGAATTATGTGACTTAGTATATAACTATTGCCATTGTTAATTACATCACTTTCCCATGCAATTACTCAACAACCAATCTCTGTTTGGCAAGGTATTTCATTTTGTCCACTGAAAATTAGTTAAGACTATTGTTGAACCATTAAAGAACAGCCAAAAATAAAAATAAACAATAAATGAATAAAAAAACAAAGTCAGCTTTTTATACTAGTAAAATTAATTGAAGTTGTTCACAAAATTGGTTCATTAAAAGGTTTGGTTCTAAATTAGTGGCAAAACCAAGGGCAATTATGACTAATGGAGATTTTAAGGGAGACGGTAAGGTCAGATTGAGCCCATGAATGTCTAATGTGAGTTGTGACTTTGTTGTGTTGGAGATGTGAGTGGAGTACAAGAAAGAATGCCATGGAGGCACAAATAATGGGGAGGGACCCACCCCCCCTCTCTATAACCTTCAACCCTAAGAAAATTATAGTGGGTCCCACT